CTGGATGCAAAGTATTTCTCTCTGCTGCTCTGCCGGGGCAATCCCAAGGCCCATAGGCATTATCTCCAGGCCCCATCACAGGCAGCAGGGGGCCACAATTAAATTTAAATGCTCATCCATTTTCCCCATAAGCACCAGCATTTTCCATCCCTTTTATGGATTTCTGAGGAATGATAAAATGCAGCTGTTTTGGCTCCTGAGCCAATGAAATAATAAAAGGTGGCCTGAGTCTCCTCCAGGGAAATCAGCTGCTTACTTATTCATTTTGACTCCAAGACTTCTATTCAGGTCTCGTAATGTACAAATGGCTTCCAAACCTGCCCTTCCATCGCCCTGGCCCTCACCTCAACTCATTTCTTGGTGACTTCTTTGCAGACAATCAGAAGCCTTCTAGAGAGGTGACCGTGGCCAATTTTTATGCTTCCCTTTCCTCTTCTGAAAAAACATGGGTATTTTAACCCCAATGCCATGCAGACAGGCCCCATGGCACGGGTGAATGAGATACTGGAGGCCATAGCCCAGCACGACGCCTGGCACATAGCAGGCACCCAGCAATGCTGCTTGCCTGCCTTTAGATTCCCTGGGGGTTAAAAATTCATATAAAGCAAACTGCCTGGCTGCTGTTCTTGCTGTGCCCCAGACGTTGCTGTTTTATTTGCCAGGAAAACAGGCCTTGCCTTCACAGGCACAATATTTCTCAGGCCCATAGGTTCATTTAGGCCTCATCGTAACCTTGAGACATTAAGAGATTCCACCACGGCCAGGGGCAGTGGCTCGCGCCTGTACTCCAAGCATTTTGGGAGGCCAAGCCAGGTGCATTACTTGAGGTCAGGAGTTCAAGTCCAGCCTGGCCAATATAGTGAAACCTCGTCTCTATTAAAAATAAAAAAAAAAATTAGCCGGGTGTGGGGATGCACGCCTGTTATCCCAGCTACTCGTGAGGCTGAGGCAGAAGAATCACTTGAACCCAGGAAGCGGAGGTTGCAGTGAGTAGAGGTCACACCACTGCACTCCCACCTGGGTGACCGAACAAGACTGTCTCAAAACAAACAAACAAACAAACAAACAAACAAAGAGTCCACAACAGAATGGTGACGCCCAGAGAGCCAGAGGGTCATACTTCAGGTTACGTCATAAGCGTGGGTTAGCTCCAGCATTTGAAACCAGTGCAGGGACCCTGGGCCAGGACTTTGCCACCATACCGTTAGTCCTCTGGAGGGAGCTTTGCTTCAGAAGGCCTGGAAGCGCTTGTTCACTCTTTGCTTCCCGACCCAATTTTCTTCATCTCACCAGGAGATGCCTAAAACCACAGAAGTATTCAGGAGAGCAGAGAGGCAGCCTGGAGTGCATACGCCATCCTCCTGTATTTCCCCAACAGCCTCGCTCCTCACCCCAGCTCCCTCACACGCTCGCACACGCAAGAGTGATGCGATGCCTGCCCCTGCAGGTGCTTCAGTCTGCATGGAGAGCACGTGGCATGGCCGAGCACCAGGTGTAGGAGGTGATCTCTAACCCAGATGGTTCTTGTCATCATCAGTCGCTTAGGCCAAAAACCTGTTTCTGCGTTTCTATTCTGTATCTAGCACTAGAATTGCATGGGGTGGGCTGAATTATGTCCCCCCAAAAGATACGCCTAAGTCCTAACACCCAGTACCTGTAAATGTGAATTACTCCCTTATTTGGAAATAGGCACTTTGCCGAAGCAATTAAGTTAAGAATCTTGAGATGAGATCATCCTAGATGGAGGGTGGGCCCTAAACCTAATGCCTGGTGTCCTTATAAGGAGAGAGAGCTTCGAGACACAGAAAGGCATGGGAAAGCCGCAAGAAGATGGAGGGAGAGATTGGAGTGATGTGTCTATGGCCAAGGGATGCCAAGGATCGCCACCGTCAGAAGCGGGAAAGGGAGCAAGAATTCTCCCTGGAGTCTCTGGAGGGAGTGGAGCCCTGTGCGTAGATTTTAAAATCTTGATTGTGGACTTCTGGCTTCTAGACCTATGAGAGAATACATTTCTGTTGTTTTAAGCTACTAAGTTTGTGGTTATTTGTTACAACGGTCCTAGAAAATTCATACACTGCATAAAGAATAAAACTTTTAAAGAGACTATCCAAGTGCTTGAGATGTTTACAGTGTGGCCTATTTCCTCAGCCTTCTCCTTCCCACCTCCCACCTGCTTTTGACTTCAGATGTTTCCAGAGCTGAGTTTCGCACCATCCCTTCCAGTATACAGGGAGAGAGGAGTCAGGGGAGCTGATGCCCCCAGCCCAAGGGGTGCTGGTTACAGAGGCACAAAGCCTTCCCCTGGACTGAGATATCCAGGGGGACTTTCTGGCAGAGGCAGGTGGGTTTGGCTCCATTAAGCTGGCAAGGGGAAGCCCCGGATGAGTCTTGAGCAGGGGAGCAATGAGGCACTCTGGGCAGTGTGCTGTAACCATAGGTGGAGGTGGGACTGGGAGAGGGGTGCCAGGGCAGAGCAATACATTATGGAGAGGTGAGGAAGGCCCAGCTGGGCATGGTGGACTTGGGGAGCAGGACGAGGGGGAGAGTCAGCTGGAAGATGTGGTGCAAAATGCTGTGTGACCAAAGCACAAAGGGTGGAGGGGAGAGCTCAGGAGTGTGGGCATGGCTCCTGCGTGGAGCCCAGGAGAACCCCCGTGATGCTTGAGTGTATCATTTTTTTTGTGGTGGGGCTGAAGGAAAGAACGAAAGACTTAGTCTGCCAGGAGCCTTCCCTGGCCACAAATATTCCTAGACGACCCCACATATACCACAGGCATACATGCACACATGCAGAGATTCAGGTACACGTACACAACCACACACACACACACAGAAATGCACAGACCAAGTGGCCAGGGACACACGCACACACAGAAAGGCACAGGGGCAAATACACACAGGAGCACACACGTGCAGTGGCACGTGCACCGACACACAGACGTACAGAGGAGCTGTGCCCCTAGTCCTCCCCGCCGCCTCCCACTGCCTTTCATTCACTCTCTCCCACCACCTACAGTCACCTTTGACACAAGTTCACTTGGATTCCCCACTAACAGGGAGGGTGGGACCCAGTCCTAGCCAGGGGTGGTGAGGGAGAGACAAGAGCAGAGGTCCAGGCACACAGGGGAGTTTCTACCTCTCTGTCAAAGGCGATGGCAGAGCTGCACACACATGTGGGCAGGAACCCACTGACACTCAGGGACAGATGCCCAGAGAGACTGAGCTCCAGACCCAGCAAGAAACTGAGATTCCAGAGTCACATCATGATGCAGACAGAAAGTCAGACAGGAAAAGATACTCAGGTACACACAGACAAAAACAGATCTACACTCAGACACACATATAGCATGCACACAGTACAGCATGCACACAGTACAGCACACACACCCACAGACACACAGCAACATCCCCTCCCAGACTCAAAAGACACATACATCCACATAGGCACGCACACACACACACACACACACACACCAGCATGCACACAGACAGACGCACACACACCCCCGACAGAAAGAGATACACGCAGAGGGAGACACTCTGACACCCAGACACATACACGCAAAAATACACAGACACACTGCCAGGTCGACACAGAGGCAGAGCCAGGGAGACAAAGAGGCTTTGAGCGTGGCCGGTCTGCCCCCAGAACCCAGACATCCTGGCTTTGCAGTCCCCCTAGGAACCCTCCGAAACGCCAGGAGAAATTCCTGGGATATTAGCTAAATTTCAGACACAAACATTCCCGTCTCCCTCTCCAGATGTAATGCTCATGAAAGCTTGCACAGCCGCCCTCAGCTGCCCCCACCCCTGGCTCCTAGGAATGCTGCCTGTGGGCTCCAGGAAAGGGGTGGTCCCAAGAGCTGAAGTGACCACACTGGGCAGGGTACAAGGGGCTGCTCTGAGGAGATTCCAGCAGATGGGAAGGGTCAGGCAGAGAGGAGCACTCCCTGTTGCAGTGTGGCGACGCCACCCAAAGCCGGGGCTGACCAGGCCCTGGGGAGAAGTGAGAGGGCTGGAGACTGAAGTCAGAAACCCTGAGTTGGAATGCAGCGCCTGGCAGGAAGGCATGGTTCATCACAGGGATCGTTGCCAGGGAATGGGCCTTGCTCACCTCCCTGCCCTCAGGGCCACCTGGCAGCAGCAGGAGTGTTGAGGGCCTTCCCACTGCAGGGCTTTTGCACACTCTATTCCCTCTCCCTGAAATGCTCTTCTCTTGACTCTGTCTCAGCCTCAGACAAGTGTCCCCACCCACCTAGGCCTCTTGTTATTTTCTCTTAAAAACACCTTCTTCTTCTTCTTCTTTTTCATAGAGTATGTAGGTACTTCTTGATTTGCTTCTGAGCTAGACCAGACATTCCATGAGGATAGAGACCTGCTTATGACAGTCAGAGCTTAGCAAGTAGCAAGTGCTCGGCAAAGCCACACATGCCGTTTAAACATCCTCCGGACTTCAGTTTCCATGTCTATGAAATGGGTTGAAACTGCATCTCTCTCGCAAGGTTCTTATGAGAAGAAAATGAGATGATGAATGTGGAAAGGGCTTTGGCAAACATCTTCTCACCTTATGTGAGGGCTGTGTGGTCTTCTTAGATCCTTGATGAGGTTAGGGGCCAGCCTAGATTGAGACACAGACGGTGCTCTGTAAACATGTGCCTCGAAGTGCTTGGTTGCCTAAACAGTATGTTTTTGGAAGTGCCATGAAGTGTCCTAACTGATGATTCCTGGAATTCCACTGTTAGTACCACAAATCTGTGTCAACTCAAATCATTAGAGCATTAATGATTCACCATCAAAGTCAAGAGGTGGCCAGCTAGAGCTTTTCCTGAGTCACAAATGGCCCAGAAATCTGGGTGTTTTCACATCCAGATCAGGTAAACAGCCATGTGTCCCAGCATCTGGGACCTCAGAGCCACAGAGGTGCATTGGCTCTCTGGGCCATCCCAGGATATGTTGAAATTCACACTCCCCATCTGCTCCATCTACTAACCCATTCCATTTCTCTCTTCACATAGGAGAACACTCCGGCTTCTTGCAGAGGACAGCAGCTGCCAGGCAGCTTTGCCTCTTGTGAGAAGAGTGGCCATGGGTGAGTTATTTAACATCTGTGAGCTTCAGTTTCCCCCTACATCCTCTACCCCACACTTCTTCCTTGAGAAGAAAGTGGCTCAGCATATGTGCAGATTCCTGAGCGTGTTCCTGCTAGCAGCCCCTCAGCAAACGGTGATTGTGAAGCTGACAATCCTCACTACCACGACGATGAGGTGGGGGAGCTTCCAAAATGATGATGGCATGCGGGTTTGTTGCCCTCGGCAGAGGCTGCTGGGTCTAAGATCTAGGCCTGCCTGTCTCCCAGCTCGGACAATGCCTGCTTTGCAAGAGGCAGCTCGTTATGTGGGAGATGTATGTCCTGTCGTAAAGTGTTTAATATTTTAGCTCCTAATTGCATTACCAGAGACAGACAGCTGTTTATCCTCATCACTCTCCCATCGTTGTCTTTGGCAGGACCCACTGGGCTGCTCCAGGTGTTTCCTCGCCTCCTCTTCTGAAAATCCAGGGCGGTCATGCAGGCTTCTCCAGGCTGCTCGGTGTGGTCAGGCCGTGAGTGGTTCCAGCAGGCGGGGGCCTATGTCGGCGCCGCAGGGGGTGCAAGTTAACCTGCATTCCATTGCAGGGGGTGCAAGTCAACCCACATTCCATCGCCTCCTCCTATCTGCCCGCAGCAGCCTTCTTGTTTATTAGGCATCACCCCGGCAATCAATTCATCTGATCTTCACAGTAGCCCTGCAAGGTAGGCACTGTTACTATTGACCCCATGATACAGAAGAGGGAATTGTTGCTGGGGGAGGCTGTGTCCTTCTTTCATTCATTCACTTATTCATTCATTCAGCAATATTTTTTGGTAGGAGCAGCATTGTGGAAGGAACTAGGGATATTAAAAGGAGTAAGATCCAGCCCGTCACCCTCAGGGACCCCACAGCCTCACACAGATGGAAGTTGACAGTGGAGCCCCTGCCCCTCCAGGTAGTTTCCACTGCTGGCCAAGTGGTCGTTTTGAGACACAGATCAACCTCAAGTCCAGACCCTGTGGATGGATTGCCCGCCCCAGATTTTAAACTTTCTAGTTAAATTCTTGTCTAATCCCAGCCTCCTTCCACCTTGCTTCACCACACAAGCCACCCCAAGCCTCCTGCTTGACACCCACCCCACATGTGACCACCTGCTCCTTACTTTCCCTTCCAGCCGCCTGTCCTTCCTGGGGCTACAATCCTGATGTTGGTGGGCGGTGGGAAGAAAACTCTTGTATCATGGCCCCTGCCTAGCCCTAGTGTAGATCAATTGTGATAATTCAAATCCCCTTTGCCAGATACTCCCTTAGCCTTCCTCACAGCCAGGGGTGGCAGGTCCAATAACTGAGTCAGTGAGAACCAGGGGAGGTTCTCTGAGGCCTTAGGGGACAGAAAGGGACAGAGAGTTTCCTTGAGTCTTGCCTTTGCCCTTCATCCTGCCTGGACCTCGGTTGCGTACGGATGAGATGCTTGGAGCTGTAGCAGCCATTTTTTGACCATGTGACAACAAACAAAGGGCTAAAAGCCAGGACATGGAGGGAGACCAAGTGGACACGAGGGCTGAGACTGGGTGTCTGCTGGGGGTCGTTGGGCCTCTGAACGATCCTGGGCCACACTGCGCTGGAGTTTCTGTAGGTGGAGAGCACACGGCCTTCTGCCTCTGTACTCCCTCTGGCCTCTGCAGCGTGCACCAAATGCTTCCTGATGGTACCCGAGCTGGGCCCCTGCATCTCACTGCACTGCCCTGGTTTTGCTTTGTGAGCTGCTTCTCCTTTTTTAAGGCCTAACCCAAAGTCCCTTTCCAAGAAGTTTCCTTTGACTTCACCTCATCCCACCTTGACCATAGGGTTGGTCATCCACTCCTTTGCATACCCACAGCACACTGTGCACGGTCCTTTGTAGCCCCCACCACACTGATTTGTAATACTCCATTTTCCTGATCTGTCTGTAGACACACTGGGAGGTTCTGGCCTGTGGAGGTGCCCGTCAAGGTTTGAGCGAGGGAGATGACAAAGAAGTGAATGCAGGAACCATCACTGGCAACTCGAGCAAAGGCCCTCCATTCAGTCCTTACGTCACTGAATCTTCCCAGGGGCCCAGTGAACCATGACTGATGCTCACCCTCATTTGCAGGTGAGGAAACTGAGGTCAGAGAGTACAGGGTTAGGTCTTTCCAGCATTTGGTCTTTCCAAGTTGAAGGGAAGCCTTTAGGCCACACGGTAGGCAGGCTGGCTCCAGTCCTGCTGCCCTGCCTGACTCCCGGGCCCTGCAGGGCCTCTTCCCGCTGTGGGCAAGGCTGCCTGCGATCAGGCGATTTGCAGGGCGGTGGGTGGCAGAGCCAGGTGCTCGGCCTGAGGCAGCAAACAGACCTTGCTTGTCCTGGCACAGCTGCCCTGGGGAAGGTTTCACAGGCCATTTTATCCACACAGATGGGGCTGGGGCCCATCAAAAAATAAGACCCAAGCAAGGCCTGCCGGGGGATGAAGTCATGTGGAAAAACACTCAAGTCAGAACAAAACTGTCTTTCTGAAAACGACTTCATCACGTTGCCAGAAGCGTCGGATCACTCTGCCTCTCACCTCTTCCAGCCCGCCCACAGGAGCGGGGAAGACCAGTTCCTCGGGTCTGGTTACATCATTTAAGCAAAAATAAGTGTTACAGAGACCCACCCAGGAGGTGCTGGGGAGCCAGTGGCTCCATCCTCCCCCACGGCCCTGGCCTCCTCTGACCCAGCAGGCTGGGAAGGCCTGGAGAGCAGGCTCGGGCTTTCTCCAGCTCTGTGTGCCCAGTGTCAAGCGCAGAAACGAAGCTCAGCTTCCTTTTGTCAGAGACCAGAAAAATAAAATAAAAAAAAAATAAAATAAATTAAAATAAAATAAGATAAAATAAAAAACAATCAGTGAATGCATACATTCATGCATTCAGCAAATTCTGCTCCTTCTACCAGGCACTGTGCTGGCGTTGGAGATACGCTTGCAGCAAGAAGAAACAAAAGATTGAAGGAGTAAAGGAATAAATTCCTCACTAGGGTGACAAGGCACAACAGAGCAGGATGGGCCCCAGAGAGGTGTAAAGAAAGCTGAGTTCCATTTCCTACTCCAGTGATATGTTTCTACTTAACAGAATTGTCTTGAGCAGAAGATCCTGGGAACATGGTGGCCACCTAGGGATTTAGGGAAGCCACTCTAGCACTCTGGCATTGATTGTCCTGGCAGGAGACAGATGACATCAGTTACTGGAGTTCCCGGCTACAATGGAGATACGGCCAAGGTGATGTGGGGCATGGGGGAAGAGGTGCTGGGTGGGCTGGCCAAGAAGGTGGGCCTTGGAGAAGAACATACCAGGCTGTCCAGGAAATGTGGGGAAGCTTTGGAGGTGGCATGGAGCTTGGAAAAGGGCAGACAATACCTTATATAGGAATCACAGGGAGCTTGAAGTAAGCAGCAAGAGATGGGGTTGGTGAGGCAGGCTGGGGGCAGGCGAAGGGGAGAGTGGGCTTCACTTTATGGGGAATAGGGAGCTATTGGAGGGCTGAAGAAGTAGAGTGTCCAGCTCAGGAGTGTATTTCAGAAAAGCTGCTCTAGCCTGGAGGACAGTTTGCCTGTAACAAAGAGGTCTATTAAGAGGCCCTTGGACCACCCCAGGGTCTAGGAGTAGAGCACTGGCAAAGGGGTTGAGAATAAGAGAAAGGATAGATAGAAATGCCCATCACTGAGGGAACTTGGAGACCTGCTGGATGAGGGGACAAATGGAATATAAGGTTATGAGTTAAAATTGTGACTCTAAGGCAATGGCAAAGACACTTAAAATAATGGTGGCCTGAAGAAGTAAAAGCCCAGGTACCTGGTCCCAGGCTGGTCTAGTAGCTCCACAAACATCAGAGCCCGATTCCTCCCACCTTTTTAGTGATACCCAGCCTTGAACATGTGGCCCAGAACGGCTGTTCCAACTCGCATTGTCACATCTGAAATCCACTTAGTGGAATGAAGGAAAAGAGGGAGGGGGGCGCACTCATTCATCTCAAAGATATGACTTTGAATTCCACACATCTCTGCTCACATTCCATTGGTAGAGCTTAGAGGCAAGACCATACATAGCTGTAAGGGATGCTGGAAATGGCAGGCTGCCAAGTGCCTGGCTAAACATTCTTCCATTGTGGAACGTGGCGGGGGATGGAGCTGTGGAGGGACAACTAGGGAGGTTGTGGAAGCCCAATGGCCACTCTGAGCTTGATATTTCTCATTTACAAAACACATTCCATGAATAGTCACACTGCTTTTTTACCAAATAAATATTAAATATGATCCCTTCTCTGTCAACCACACGCTGTGTTTTCCTGTCAAGTCAGATGCCCCTATTTGGAGACAGCTTTCCCAGCCATTGAAGGAGACGTTGGAAAATATCCTCAACATGGACTTTACGGGGCTTACAGAGTGGGCTCTCAGGGTCTGTGAATTCCATATAATTATATGCTCAATTTGGGGCATACAGTTTTCTTGAGAGAGAGTTTATGGCTTTATGCTTACACGTTTAGCATACAGATTTATGACGGAGCTTACCTTTACTGGGGTTACCCTCAAAAATTGAAAACAGAATGAAAAATTTGCTCAAGGCCCTCACCACTGATGGTCTATGATTCCTTTGCACCCGCTTTGCAGGGTACACTTGGAAAGGAGGGCAGAGAAAAGAAAAAGGCAACTGAAGGGCTGTGGGTGGTTGCATAACATGGCTTTGATTCATCTGACAGTCCCCTCTGGATGTGGGTGTGGCCCACTGTCACCAGGCCTTCCGCTGAGTCCCTGCCCTGGCTGAGCTGGGATTTGGCTGGGGGCATGCCTGGCACACTCTGCCTCAGGTCTCCCCTGCAGTCCCCAAAGCTCCCTGCCAGAAGCCAGTTAGGATTTCAGAGACACAAGCGAGCTGCTGTGTTTGGCCTGCCAGGTGAAAAGAACAGAGCCTGCATTAAGCAGACGCTCCTCTCGTATCGGCTTCCCTCACCCGCGATGTCTCCAACTGGGAGCAAACCTGTCTCCCTCTCTGGAGCCAGGGATTTGATACTGTCGTGAATGGAGGTTTTCATCCCCCAGTGAGTCGTCTGCCCTCCATGGCGCCTGCTGTCAGTGCCAGGCTTGGCATGGGAGGCCCCAGCTGCGGGAAGAGTGGGTGGATAGGGAAGCGCTGGGCTCAGTGGCTCCCCCACCACCTAGACTTAGTGAAGGCAGAAGAGGCATCATGGCCAAGGGGAAGGAGCAAGAAGGTGGGCACTCCTGAGTGATCACCAGGATGGGCTCTGATGGACTAGTGGTTTGTACTAAGTGCGAATTTCTCCATAGCCCACAGATGAGCAGGACTCCTAAGAGCAGACTTGCTGTCTGCAATAAAGATGGTACAAATAAAGCTGAAAACAAAGATTTTACTGAGAGGGGAATGGGGCAAGAGATCAGCAATGTGGTGCCAAACAACTGAGAGCAGGGATGAGCATCTTGGAACGTGGAGTGCTGGTGAGCAAGAGGACCCAGCCAGGAAGCAGACAGACCAGCCCTAGGCACCACCCGTGAGCCGGGTTGGGAGTAAAGGAAAGCTGGAGAAGAGCAGGGATGGGCTGCAGTGGAAGCCCCGGCATGGGGTTCTGGTGGTAGCAAGTGGCACCTTCAGCCCGAGAGAGCTAGGCCAGCCAGAGAGGCCAGGGCTGGGTGGCGGAGGTGGCCCTATGGCAGGCCAGGGAGCCCTTACCCGCCCTGTGCATCTTACGTCTGCCCTGCGCATCTTACATCTGCAGGCCCTCTTGCCTCTTCCCTCTGTTTGTCCCCTGCCCTGCATATTCACTCAGCACAGGCAGGGCACTTTGTTCTCATAGCCTTTGACTGTGACTGCAGGTGTGGGACCAAGGACAGTGGCCAAAGAAAAACAAAGGGAAGGAAGGGAACGGCTATGATTTCTAAGAACAGCACCTGCAGGCCTGCATCCTGGCTGTGAAGCACACACTTGTGCGTTTTCTGGTGGAGGCCTCACAAGCCTGCGTGTTAGGGCCAGCTCTCATAAATATCACCAGGCTGAGGACAGTTTCACAGCAGCGTCACTTAGCAGGACGCCACGTGGTGCTAGTCCCTGGGCTGGACATGCTGGAGACAGAGATGAGCAAAACCCTTTCTCTGGCCTCAGAAAGCTCACAGTCTGGTCAGGGTGGGATCGGTATTTGGTGAGAGGTTCCTGAAGGTCAGGGTCACTGCAGCTGGGGCCTACCATATATCACTCAAGTCCCATCCTCATAACATTCCTGGAAGGGGCCGGATCCCCCACTGGAGGAAACAGAGGCTCAGAGATGCTAGGTAAACTGCTCCAGACCACACAGCTGGGTCTTGTGGGGATACATTTTGAATTCCTGTTCTGTCTAACTCAATGTTTGCTTGTTTCTTGGGGAAGAACCCCGCTTTTTTCTCTGGGAGGGCTGCTGCAGAAGGTCACTGGGGTGGTTTGAGGCCTGAGGGCAGGCCCGGTCACAGACCCTTCAAATGATTGCTAAAGCACATGCCACTCAGGGACTCCTGGTTAGATGAGCAGAAGACAAAAGGAGCCTCCACTAGACGGCCACTCGTGCAGGTCCAGATGCCAAGCTCTGGGGAGCATTCGAAGGCAAGTGGGTCAGGCACTGCCCTGTCCCCAAGGAGCTCACAGACCAGTGGAAAACTGATGACAAGTGTGTTAAGACCCACTCCACAGGCACCGAGCCAGGCAAATCTCTGCCACGCCCATTGCAGGATGAACTGAGGTGAGAACCAGGACTTCTCAGATCCTCAGTTTCTTTATCTGTAAAACACAGATACTAGAACCTAACTCATCACAGTGTTGCAAAACAATGTGTAGGAGGCACAAGGCTCAACACAAAGCAGGAGCTCGGCAGTAATAGTAATCATGACTCTTATTACCACTCCAGCCAGAGTTCAGCAGCAGGGAAGAGCAGGTAAATGTGAGGTGTAAGGAAAGCACAAAGAACATGCTATCAGGATTCATGGGTGGGAAGGGGGCAGGGGCGGAGCATGGAAAAGCCTCCAGAGGCTCCTGTTTGTTCATCCTTTCCTTCCCTCCCTCCCTCCCTTCTTTTCTTCCTTCCTTTTTTTCTTCCTTCCTTCCTTCCTCTCTCTTTCTTTCTTTCTCTTTCTTTCTTTCTTTCCCTTTCTTTCTTTCTTTCTTTCTTTCTTTCTTTCTTTCTTTCTTTCTTTCTTTCTTTCTTTCTCCCTCCTTCCTTACTTCCTTCCTCCCTCCCTCCCTTCCCCCTCCCTCCCTTCCTTTCTTCCTTCCTTCCTCCTTTCTTTCCTTTCCTTTTCCTTCCTTTCTTTCTTTCCTTCCTTCCTTCCTTTCTTCCTTTCTTTCCTTTCCTTTTCCTTTCCTTCCTCCTTTCTTTCCTTTCCTTTTCCTTCCTTTCTTTCTTTCCTTCCTTCCTTCCTTTCTTCCTTTCTTTCTCTCTTTCTTTCGTTGTCTCTCTTTCCTTCCTTCCTTCCTTCCTTTCTTTCGTTGTCTCTCCTTCTTTCCTTCCTTCCTTCCTTCCTTCCTTCCTTTTTTTCTTTCTTTCTTTCTTTCTTTCTTTCTTTCTTTCTTTCTTTCTTTCTTTCTCTCTCTCTCTCTCTCTTTCTTTCCTTGTCTCTCCTTCCTTCCTTTCTTCCTTCATTCCTTCCTCCCTCCCTTCCTTCCTCTCTCTCTCTCTCTCTCTCTTTCTCTCTTTCTTTCACAGGGTCTTAAGGGTCTTGCTCTGTTGCCCAGGCTGGACTGCAGTGGTGAGATCATAGCTCACTGCAGCCTCAACCTCCTGGGCTCAAATGATCCTCCCACCTCAGCCTCCCCAGTAGCTGGGACTATAGGCATGCACCATCATACCTGGCTAATTGCTGTATTTTTGGTAGAGATAGGGTCTCACCATGTTGCCCAGGGTGGTCTTGAACTCCTAGGCTCATGCAATTCTCTCACCTTGACCTCCCAAAGTGCTGGGATTACAGGTGTGAGCCCCACACCCAGCCCATTTACACTGTTTATTTTTCTCATGCTCTTGTTTGGGGCCCTTTATGCTTATTCCAGGGCATGCAGTCAGCACCCAGTGACTATCTATGGAATGAGCGAACCAAGGAATGATATCTCCAGCTCCAGTGTTCCAGAGTTTCAGATGTGGCTCTGTTTCATCCGCATCCTGGCTGCTGTGGTTCAGAGAACTTGGGTGGCAGACTCACTGCCAGCAGTGGGGAGCAGTCCCTGCCCCACGTGGGCCCAGACTTGAGGTCCCGGAGTAAGCACTTCTTGCTCCAAGCCACCTTCTAGAGAGATGGGAGAAAGGACAGGGAAGCTAGGAGTTTCTACCACCATCTGAGGCACTGTGGATGGAGAGAGCTGCTGGAGAGACAGGAGTGCAAGGGCCTGGCATGGCTCTTCAGCTCTGGAGATGTGGAACAGGCCACTTGCCTCTCAGAGGTGCTGTGGCAGAGCCTACCTCCTTGGCCGTCTCAGAAGTTTGCCTTATGTCTAAAGCTTCCTGGGCCTGCAGCACAGGGTGCCAGTTTTGCCTATGGGGCAGCCAGCCCTCTACCAATGAGGTTAGAGTTGGTGGTGTACACTCCATTCCTCAGCGAGTGAGCCTGAGACCTGTCCTCCGCCAGCCTTGCAGACAGTCCCGAGGGGGAGTGAAATATAAAGATGATCTATTTACGAATACATCCTTTACTTGCTTGCCTTTGTTCACTGTCTTGATTCGGGTGTTCCCACAGTGCCTCCACGGCTTCCTGCCTCCTGTGTTCTTGGCTCCTTCTTAGCCTGGCTGCCTGGCCCTCACCCCGAGCCTGGGGAGAAGTCAGGACTTTTCACTTGCCAGCCCTGGGTTATACGATGATCTTCTGTCCCCATGATTCAGCCTTTTGTCTGACAGGAGGACCAGGAAGTGAGGAAAAAAATTAAACAGCTTTGAGCTGGCTTTGGGAGGAGTGGCCGGGAGCTCCCTCCAGCCTCCTGTGAAATGGGTGTGCTGGCTTTATATTTCGAGAGAACGCTGTTGGGGGAACGGGGAAAGGGCTGACTCATCAGTTCTTAATGGCACTAACACCCAGCATCTGCGAGTCCTCCTGGGACGTCGTCGTGGGGTGATTTGCTTTTCAGAGCTCTGACATCAGAGGCCTCGTCTTGTCTGCTGGAGTGTGTCATGCTCTGGCTCTTCGTAGGAAAACTGCTTAATGCTATGGCTAAAGAAAAGTAATAAAATATTCATTTGCCAAGGCTAGAGGGTGGAAGTTATCGAATCCTCCAGGAGAAGGAGTCCTAAATTAAAGACACTCACAGACCCGGATGAAAGCACATGGCCACACAGCAGACATTCTCAGGAACACAGCACATATAGGAAAAACAGCCTCCCATGTACCCAAAAGCATCTGCCTGTGCACACACAAAGCCCTGCATGTGCAAGCACACATGTACCCATCACACACCTACACAATACACAAACTTGCACTAGGGACACATCCATGTCACAATGTGAAGACACACGCGCATTTCACAAGCCTGTGGAACCCTGCTCCATACGCACGCACGCACACACCTATACCTATTTCCCCACCATTGTAATTCAAAGTGACATCTTCCTAGCTCATCTACTGGGGATGGGAGAGCCCATCAACCCGGCCCTGACTTTTGAACAATAGCCGCCTGTCTGGCTGTCCTGAGGAAGCCCGGCTCTTTCAGGCAGAAAGCAGATGCCATGCTGGGGGAAACAGGGGAAGTGTGACTCAGAGGTGAGTTACACAACTTGGTTTTGCCTGTCTGCTCTGCCCAGGAGGAGGATGGGAGAAGCTTGCAAATGGGAAAGCTGAGAGGCTGCTGCACTTCTGGAAGCTTCCACATTATCACGCTGGAGGAGGCCCAGGCTCCCTGAGGGCAGCATGAGGAGGCTGCTGCGCTGTCATGAGCAGGAACGCATGTGCTTGATCACACGGGGCGCCTTCCCTCAGAGGGAGGGGTGCTGTGGCTGTCACCTTCTCGCTAAGGTTATAGCCTTCCGCTGACCTGCTCCTGCCCATCTGGCCTGCTGCCCTAAGGCACCACCACGCCTATGTAGACAGCAGGCTGGCCCCAGGCTTGGGTTGTGGACACACAGGTTGGCCTGCATCTATAAAGGTGATGCTGCCTACTGATGGTCCTAGAAGCCCTGATGGAGCAGCTATGACTAGAGGATGGGTGCCTAGACCTGAGGTTTTGGAAACGATCCCAGTTCACAGATTTCCTGAGAGAATGACAATGTCCCGGATCCCTGGGATTTTTTTTTTTTTTTTTTCCATACCATCTATTCTGCAAACATTGACCAAACATTGACTAAAGGCTAGGGCCTTGGGTAACATAGTTGGTTGCTGGAAGGATCTCACAGTCTGTGAGGGAGGCAGGCAAGGGTCAAAAGTGACTGCAATTTGCTCGTGGAGCAGCTGACTAACTGCTTCTGGAAGGTTGAGTTGACTGGGCAAAGAAAGAGGTATGGATGTGAGTGGGTGGGAGACGGGAGGATAGGAGGGTGTCAACGAGGGAGTTAAATTCTGAGCAGAGGAGTAGCATTCTCACAAAATTGCTTTCCTACACAGATCACTGTAGATCTGGGTTGGCAAAGTACAGCGCACAGGTCAAATCTGGTTCACTTTCTGTTTCTGTACATGAAGTTTTATTGGAACCCAGCCATGTCCATTCATTTCTTATCTCCAGCAAACTTGAGTAGTCACAGCATGACCCTCAAATCCCAAAATATTTATGATCTGAGTCTTTACAGAAAAAGTCTGTCTATCTGTGTTCTAGACCCAACCATGAGTTTGGGAACCCAATGCAGAATTCCAGAACCGATCACAAAATTTCTACAGCCTACTGTACTAGTCGAGAATCCAGCATGGTTTTCTAGAGCTCCCTGGAAGAGTGACATTTGTATAGGGATTTAGAAGTTTACAGTCAGCTTTTGCATCAATTATCCCATTTAATCCTCCAACAAGCCTGTGTGAGGTTAATGGTAATTTTATCCCAATTTTGCAGATGAAAAAGCTAAGACAAAGGGAAATTAAGGGACTTGCTGAAGACTGCATGGCTGGGAGATGGCTGAGGTCAGGCAGCCTCATTCTAACATTCCATGCTCTTTCCGCTGTATTATCCTACAGATGTTTCTCCGTCACACACTCCACTACTTAGCTGCCCTCCCTGACAGTCATTTCCCCCTTCTTCCTAACTCCCACTGCCACCGAGGAAGTCTTTTGTCCACTGTGCTGTGTTAGTGGGGAGACAGGGTTTGGAGAAGCATCAAATTTCCTTTCCACATCTGTTTGCTGGTGCCCAGCGCACCCTGGGATGCTAACGAACAGTGACAGCTGATCTTCAGTTGGCTGGCATGTGAGAAGAACCATTGGGCCAGGTAATTCCAGTTCACCTCTTCAGAACTGCATCCAGGAGGCAGCCCTGGGTGGCAGTGATGGTCTTGCCGGAGCTGCTGGGCACTCCTGTGGGGGATGTGATGGAATCTGCCATGTCCCTTACCTACCCACCCCAAGCAGGGGCAGGCACCCTGAACGACCCCTTCTGAACACAAGACTTGCAGCCTCCTTGCTCATTGGTATACTCAGGAGCTGCTCTTAATGGAATTACACCTCATTTATTAGATACGAGGACCTAAGATGTGGCTGTGTTATATCAGGCGGATTCTGAAGGCTCCCACCCCTGGAGACACACACACACACACACTCATTTCCTGCAGCTCTGAGGGCTGCTGGCTGGAGCTCTGCATGCTGTGGGTAGCACATTTAACTCGATAAAATATAATATACGACAGGATCATATTTAACAAGGAAAACAGGGCCCGAATGGACAGAGGAGCAGTGTGGCTGGGTTGCCATGGAAACCCCTTGTTCGGAATTTCCTGACTCCTAGGAGATTACATTTTCAACCTTAATGCTGTATTAACATAAGCTTTGGCACTTAATGTCTCTGTTTTTCACCTCCCTTCTCTCCCTCGCTTACAGGCAAAAGCAAGCAGCAGAGATGAGCCAGGGAGGAGGAGAGAGGCTACACTTCATGATCCAGTCAAAACCAGCCATGGCACCCAGACAAGGTGCTCTGCAGCTTTCAAAGTGCATCACATCCATTATCTTCTGTGACCCACAGACAGGTCAGCAAAGCTGGCTGGTGTGAGGTCGCCGAGCCCCGTGCAGGTTGCCCCTCGCATACCTCTTGCATCCACTCCTTCCTCTCCGTCGCATGCCACTGCCCTTGTCATCTCTCACGGGGCTGTTGCAATAGCTTCCTGCCTGTCTCCCTGCTCCCAGCCTGTGCCCTCTGTCCTCTCTTGCTGCCTGAGTGATCTTTCTGCACTGAAAATTTGTTCATCCTATACAGTAGGCTTAACAGCCTCCAATGGCGCCCAGCAGGTACAGAATAAAGTCCCAACTCCTTTGCATTCAAGTGTTTCTGCCTCTCTCTACAAGCTTCTCTCTAGCAGTTTCCACCATAGTCCCTGCCCTCCAACCCCGTGGAGGTGATGATGTCCTTTCTGAATACACAGAGCACTTCCAGGGGCCATACTGTGAGCTCCTGCCATGAGCTTAGGTTGGGACCCTAGTCTCTGCTGTCTTCCTAAACAACTTTTAAGCTTCCTTTAAGACCCAGCTAGGCATCACCTCTTTTGGGGGTGTTTCCATGCCTACCTCACCACCGGTGTTCCCAGGGTGCTTGTACCGAATGCTGTTGCAGCATTGATAAGCTCCCTCCATCACACGGGGAGCTTATCAAGTCCCAGTGGGGCCATGCTTTCCCTGTTGCCATACTTCCACCACCAAGCCTACTTCTGGAACCTAACAGGTGTCCAACTGGCATTTGTGAAATTGAATAAGTGGTGAGGACACAGGCTCAGAGCGGTAAGTATGAGTCCAATGCTCCTGCCTGGTAAGAAGCTCAGGTAGGATTTGTCTGCTGTCACTCACCCTCCTAGCCTCCCTGCTTGCTCTGGGATCTCTGTGCCATCCACAACTCACAAATTGTGTCTGTTTCCAGCACTACACAGGTCTTCTCTCTAACAAACGCTTCCTTCCTTACATCCTCTCCACCAGTTGCCTAATAATCTTGGACCAGCTGGGGCTGGTAGAAAGTTGAGATCTGAAGAATGAGGCTCAGAGACCACCTGAGACACTTCAGCCCATAGAAAAGCCCACACTCCTCCCATGAAACAACAAGGTTCTCAAGGTAGCAAGGAGCAGCCGCTTGTCCAAGCAAGCCCATGCTTTGGAGTCTTGTAGCAAGGACCAAGGGAGCCATAGTGAGGACTGGAAACTTCACCCTCACAACCAGTGTACTGGGTGGACCAGTGACCCTTACCCTCAGTCATATCTACCTGGAACCACAGAATGAGGCATTTGAAATAAGGTCTTTACAGAGATAATGTAAAAATCTTGAGATGAACTCATTCTGAATTTAGACCCTGGTGGGCCTAAATCCAATGGCAAGTGTCTTTTCAAGAGACAGAAAAGGAAAAGACACACAGAGACACAGGAGAGAAGTCATGTGATGATCCGAGTGAAGGCGGAGGCAGAGGTTGGAGGATGTGCCCGCCAGCCAAGGAGTGCTGAGCATGGCTGGAGCCACCAGGAGCCAAGAAAG